CTGCATGGACAAAGCCAGAAGGGAAGAGAAGGCATGGTGTGTTTGAGGAACTGAAAGAGGCTCAGAGATGCTAATTGTTGAGTCAGGAGCTGCAGCTGGGGAGGAGCAGAGGTCTGGTCTTGGAAGATCTCAAAAGTCATATGTGTTAAGGAGAAAAAGACATTGTCCTGGGGGCAACAGAGAGCTATCAGGGGGCTTAAGTAAGAGAGCGACACACCAGATGCACGTTAAAAAAAAACCTTTCTCTTGTACCCTGCACAATACACCGAAGCCAGTGTATTTCAGTACAGTTCCAAACAATACTCTGTGAACAGTTCCTTGCCACAATAAAAGATCGCACTGAGAACAAGTTTAAAAATCCATTTAAAATTATTTTAATGAACCCCTGATAATAGCACCCTTTACTGATGTTTGAATATAATCCCGTTATTGTCCTTTGTTTGTTCTCTCAGAGCACTCTATTTAATAGCATGCATGAATCAGGAGCACTGACAGATACATCATGCTTGCCTTTTAATGTCACGCGGGGCACACGGAGCTCTGCATATGCTCACTATGGCCAACAGACAGAAGGGCTGGGGAAGGGGAAAGGTAGAATCCCTGGGTGGAGGTGGGAGGCTCTGTTATAGATTGAATTGTGTCCCCCAAAAGGATACTATGTTGAAGTTCTAACCCCTGTACCTGTGAATATGACCCTGTTTGGAGATAAGATTTTTCTTTTGTTATGTTGATGAGGACATAAGGAAGTAGGGTGGGTCCCAAACCTAATTCCTTCTGAGTGGTGTCTTATTAAAAGAGCAGAACAGACACAGAGACACATGGGGAAGATGCCACGTGAGGACCCATCTACAAGTTAAGGAATGTCAAGAAATGCCCAGGGTTGCCAGAGACTGAAAAAGACAAGGACTGACTTTCTAGAGAGCACAGAGCATAGCTTTGTGACACCCTGAATTCAAACTCCTGGCCTCCAAAACTCTGAGACAGTACATTCCTGGTCTTTAAAGCCACCTACTTGTGGATTTTGGTTACAGCAGCACTAGGTAACTAAGACAAGCTCTAAGGCCAGGCATGTGCAATGTGAAAGGCATACGCTCAGGTTGAATCAAATGGACGGGCAGTGTATCCATGATAATTATTTCTAATTTATCTAAAGAGATCAAGGGCAGCTTGATAACTTACTGTAATTGAAAATACAAAAATATTATAATCATTAGTAAATATCATCAAGATCCTTCAATTGTCCTGCATTTGATATGGTTTCCAACTGTCCAATGTCTTTAGTTCCCTCATGTGGGCTTAACAATGAATTTCAGTGCAATTATCTTCTGGTGAGTGCCTTCTATGAACCAGGCACTGGGCTGGACATTTTATATTCACTATCACTTCATAGAGATATCAAAAATATTTAACCAAGTTTGCAAGAGTCACAGCCCTCTCTACCCAAAGTCCAACAATTCAATGTGCTGCTTCATCTGATCCTTCACCAACGCATCAGAATGGACTCTGGTTGTAAACCACCACCAATTCATGGGCACTGGCTTCATGTTGGCGAACTGGTGGTGCAATGGTTAAGAGCTCCTCTGCTAACCAGAAGGTCAGTAGTTTGAATCCACCAGCTATTCCTTGGAAATCCTACGGGGCAGTTCTACTCTGTCCTACAGGGTCGCTATGAGTCGGAATCCACTCGACAGCAATGGGTTTGGTTTTTTTCGGGTTTGGCTTAATGTCAAGCTGACTTTTAGTAATCATGGCCCCAGAGATTACAAACTGGCAGCCCATGGGCCACATATGGCTCGTGGATGTGTTTTATTTGGCCTGATGGTGTTTAATTTTTAAAATTTTGTCACCAAGACATCAAAACGTAGTGAGATTTTATATAAAATATCCAGATTTCCAGCTCCCCATGAAAACCATGAAGATGCAGCAATGCTAAGCCCGTGTTCCTACAAGGCCAACCAGCTATAATGCATACCAGCAGGCTCACCCAGCTCCAGTTTGCCTCCATCCCCATCACTGCCTCTTCTACTTCACCAGGCCCTCCTCCCTTACTCACATTACCTGCCTGGCGTATGGAGGCATCTGAATCTGTGACCTGTTCCTGACAGCTACCACTCAATTTCCTAGACTAGAAAGGGACTTTTCTCCTTGTGACATTCCTCTGGCCTCTGGCTAGCTTCTGTGCCTGGGCTCTCCAACACTAAGCTTCACAGCAGTGATTCTCAACCTGAGCAACCTTGAGCATGCATCAGAAGGACTGGGAGGGCTTGTTAAAACACAGATCACTGGGCCCCAGCCCCAGTCTCGGATTCAGGATGTCTGAGGTGGGGCCTAAGAATTTCACTCCTGATGAATTCCCAGGTGATGCTAATGCCACTGGTCCAGGCACCACACTTTGAGAACCATATCTCTACAACTACAGGATGAACCCAAATGCCTACTGGGCTCAGTGTTGGTGGGGATGGAAGGATTTGTATCTTTCCTCTGGCCAAGTGAGGGAGGTGGAGTCCATGTTTCGAGGACCTCATAAATAGCCCCACACAAAAATAAATGAGTTATGTGTCCCACCTCTGAGTTCCTAGTTTCATAAATGAAGAACCAGAATGAAGAACGTTCTCTTCCAGATTGCCTTTAGATCTCTCCATCAAAGTGGTGATATTGCCTATGACTTGCAGGGCCCTCTCCAACCTCAAGCGCACGCGCGGTGCACACATTTTCCTAAGAAATTAGCATCAGCAGGATTCTACTGTTCTGTCCCTCAAAGACCCTGCACTAAGACTTGGATCAATGTGTGATGTTACCAACAGCCAACACTCCTTGAGTGCCTACTAGGTACCAGGCACATACTTAGGGCTTTATGCATTATAATGATCCTATGATGTAGGAACTATTATCATCCCTGTTTTACAGATGAGAAAACCGAGGCACAGAGAGAACTGAATTCTCCAAGTTCACCAGCTCTAGAATGATTAAGAGAATCCCACCGTATTCACTGAGGGTCAGACACTATCTGACATATTGTGCTCAGTCCCCTGTCTGTATTTTAAGATGGCTGTTGTCCCTGGAAGGCAATAGCACCTGGAAGTGATGTCATATGGGGCACAGTTACAAGAGGAGGGTATTTATCCTGGAAATCACAGGATTTGGGAGTATATGACCAGTCTCTGCAAATGTCTGAAGGCTGTTTGTTCTACAGAGAAAGAAAGAGGCTCTGGCTGACAGAGCAGGAGCTAGTGAGTGGCATTCTGGGAAGGCTGATTTGATATCTACATAGAAATCTACAACAATTAGAAGACTCCCAATGAGAAGAGCTGCCTCTACAGGGCTTGGCTTCCCAACAAGAGGAAATGTCCAGAAAGAGACAGGACTCATCAGCAATGCTGCAGAACTGGGTTTCTAATGATCCAGGATGGAGGGAAAGGTGCAGCAATGGGGAGATAGGAGAACCATCTGGGAGACTTTTTGAACTACATGCCCTTTGCCCTGGGACATTTTGATATGCCCCCAGTGGAGTCAGGTTGTCCCAGGTTTGAATCCTCACTTCATCACACACTGGCTGAGCTACGTAGGACACAGTGCTTACCCTCTCTGAGCCTCTATTTCCTCTTTCATCGCATGGAATCATAGGACCTGCATTAATAGGTTGCTGTGAGGTATTAATTAGATGCTGCCATGTAGTTGCTAGCTGATGTTGATTCAGCCCCTGACTCACGGTGACCCATGCACAGTGGAATAGAATACTGCCTGGTCCTGCACCATCCCCATAATTGGTTGCCGATTGAACCATTGTGATCCATAGGGTTTTCACTGGCTGATTTTTGGAAGTCGATCACCAGGCCTTTCTTCCTAGTCTATCCTAGTCTGGAAGCTTTGCTGAAACCTGTTCAGCATCATAGCAACATGCAAGCCTTCACTGATAGACAGATGGTGGCTGCATATGAGGTGCATTGGCCAGAAATTGAACCCAGGTCTCCCACATGGAAGGCAAGAATCCTACCACTGAACCACCACTGCCTCCAGATGCTGCATATGAAATGCTTAACATGATGTCTGCCACATGATAGGTGCTCAAGAAACTAATAACAATAATAATATCAAAATAACTATCATTATCATTGTCATTTTCTTCATCCTTATCATCCTTACAAATTTCAGTTTCTATGATAATGCTTATATTCCCTTTTCAGCCGAAGTAGGTAGTTTTACAACCCATAATAAAGTCCCTGGGTTCTTGATCTACTTAATCTAAAGAAATATGCTCCCAGCAGAATCACGGCTCTGATTAACTGAGGTGCAAACCCCTCCTCCCCGATGCTGACAAATACTCCCTGCAGAGTCTCAGGGGATGGAAAACCCTCCCATGTGCACATGACTGTGTGAAATATGAGACTTGTATTCATGCATTATAAAAATCATCTCAAAGCCAGAGCTACACCCAAAGCCTCCAAGAAGGTCTAAGACTCAGGGGCACTTACTCTTCCACATCATTCTTTTTCTCCTTGGGTAGGAGCTGGCTGGTGAATTGCTGTCTTATTTACCGACTCAGACATAGTGTATGTTCTGGGATTAAATTTAAATATTCGTTGAGATAAACAACATGACCTTTTCAATGTCACCATGAAGAGAAAACGACCACTGAACCAACGAAAGAACAAGGGCACAATTAGATTCTTTATCACAGCCCAGAAACGGATCTGAACCCTGCTCACCAAAGAACTATTCCCCAAAACTTGTCAGCTCTGACAGTTACAATAATTGAATTGATAAAAACAAAAACTCAGTATCAGTGGTCTTTCCCACATTTACAAAGGCCCGGCCGTGTGACTGGATATCTCCATTTTCGTACCCGGTAACTTTGTACCTCTGTGTCACACGTGCAGACATATTCAAGTGGGCACACTGATGTCTACCCCTTCAGAGAACATCCTTCACACACATGGTCGGAGAAGGAGACAGCGTGTGGTGTGTGCGTACCCGATAGTTAGAAAGAACAGTTGACTTACAGCTTTTGGCTTATACGGGGGCTGAATCTCTTTGCGTTCAAGTTTCTCCCAATCAATATATCGGAAAAACGCATGCTCTTTGATGTCACGCTCGCCTTCGGGTCCGCAACCCAGACGTTTGCCCGGGTGTTTGGTCATCAGCTTTAAGAGAAAGAGAGACACCGAATTTAATGGATTTCAGAAAAGGAAATGTGAGGTACGTGGAAATAATCACTCCAAAGAGTTAGGTAAGAAAGCATAATGAAGGGTTTCAACTAATTTTTTTTTTCATCCCAGCAATAATTTCCTAGCCAAGTCTTTGTAATAGTCAGATGTGACAAATTGCCTGCTGCCACTCCCCCTAGAGTGAGATCCCATATGGTTAATCAAACCTAAGCCTGAATATGGCCCCATACATCAAGTTAGAAATGTCACACGATACATTTTGGTTCAAGAATGCAATTATTGGTGCATTTAATGAGAAAAGCTTCAATTATCTTCAAACTTCCCTCCCCACCACCATAAGAATTGGTTGACCATCCCAATAAAGGCAACGGCCACATTCATTCAGACACTATTTACATTTCTCAGCAAAGCACTTGTGAAAATGACAAAACAAGAAAAAATATTAGTCCAACAGACCCGAGTTTCAAGCAATTACTTCCTGAAAGCTCATTAAATAGTCAAAACTGAGCCCAGCTCATCTCATCTCCCTTGTATCACACATTATCCTAAGCTCCATGAGGTTTCTCTGGTGTTCGGTTTAAATTACTTAATTATCAAAAACTTCCATCTTTGAGTCTTTGAGCCAGTGCTAAATAACAAGATGAATAGATGTTCCAAGAGGGGACCAGACAGGCTTCCTCTTGTAAACGAATTCAAAGCCACATGGAAATCTCCCTGATCTCAAGATTTCAGCAAAGGCTCAGAGAGAACAGAGGAAGGAGTTAGTGACTGAAAAAAAAAAAAAAAAAAAAAATCAAATGACCAGCAAGAGGGCATCCAAAGAGCAAACAAAAGCGACAAGTCCAAGAAGCTTCTCAGAATTGACTTGACGCTAAATAGCCCATGACTTCAAAATCCTTAGTTTGCCCAGGACTTGCCCATTGTGAAGAAAGGATGAACCCAACCATTTTCACCTACTCTGTTGGACATTCAGCCTGGCCTGATTCCTGCTTACAATTCATAGTCAGAAAGTACTAACACTCTCCCCCCTCGTCCCCCGACACACACACACAAAAGCATATATTTTCCATATATGTTTGATGTTTCAGGGGGAAAAATATTTGGGTGCTTATTATGTTCTAAGCTACTTTCTTTATTTTCACGCATGATTTACCTGATTCTCACAATAACCCAGTGAGGGAGGTGTATTATTTTCCCCATTTGAATGACAGAGAAATTGACCCGGTGAGAGGTTAAGCAATTAGCAAGGGCACACAGAGATAGTAAGTGGCAACACTGGGACTGGACTCCACCTCTGCCTAACTCCAATACTTGAGCTTTTAAGAGAAATGGGAGAGCTTTGTGGCCTGGCTTGGTTCGGAAATGTTTTATGGGGAGCAAACCAATTGAATTGTGCCTTGAAATTTGTGGAAGATTAGGATGGAAGGAAAGAAATGGCTATGAGGTCTTAGTTAGCACTGATACTAATGATATCAATAATGGCGTCCATGTATTGGCAGGCCCTCTGTACTCAGGCTCTGTGCTAGAGATTTCTCAGTCATTGCTCTGACATTACCTCTTTAATCCTCACAACCTTGAGGCCTCAGCAACTATTATCCCCATTTTCCAGATAAAGACACTGGGTCCAGAGAAGTGAAGTCATTTGTCCAAAGTCACCCAGCCAAGAGCAGAGCCAGGCTTTGAAGAGCTCTGCCTGACACAGAGCTTTTGCAGCCCTGTGCTATATAGTCTCTGCTTCGGTTCACTAGAACATGACACCAGTTTGGGTTTCTGTCTCCTTTACACGTACTCAAAGTGGGCGTGGAAATATGAGCAAAGTGATACTAATTATTTTAGCTTAGAAATAGGGACTTCAATGGATGGACACATAAAAGACACTCGGAGAGGAGGCCGTTTCCAAAGACCTAACTCGATTTCCATACAGGCAGAGGATGGGCAAGCGAAGAAAAGCCCCTGCAGAATCATCCACACTAACACAGAGGCTCTGCCCAGTGCCTGCACGCTGCTCTGATGTGCCTGAAGCAATATAGACAGCTGGATTTAATCATTGTTCCAATCTCTGATCACTTCCCAGACGCAGCCCCTGGGGCCCTCTGCTCAAGAGGAAGCATCTGGCAATTCGCTTAAGCATCACCCCTTCTAGTGCGAATCAGTCTTGAAGGAAGAATCCACACTGGACTCAGCCCACTCAAGTCAGAAAGTTCCAGAGACTCCATGGTAAGAAAGTCACCCCAGTTAACCCTGAAGGTTATGGGTCCTAAATTAATAGAAATCTGCTCTACCAGGGAAACTGCTAATTGGAGCTGAAGCTGAATGCAGTTGACCTGGAAACTCCTCTCTCCTCCATGACTCATTTAGCACCCCCGGGGGCTCTCCAGGCAGGGCAGAGCTGGGAAAGGGAAGACAATGAGCAAGTGCTGAGCACCTACTGTGCACCAACACCGTGCAAGGAGTTTTCTTTTATGTTGCCTCATTTAATGCTCTCAAAACCTCTGTTAAATGAGTATTGTTATTCCATTTTTAGAGATACACAGAAGCTGAGATGCAAGGTAACTTGCTCAAGATGGTACAACTAGGAAGCGGAAGGGTCAAGATTTGCAAAGGGTTTCTCAGTCAGCAGTCTCCCACTCTCTTTCTTTTTCTTTTCTTTTGCAGGTTGAATCTTGTCCTTATTTATTTATTGTGGTAAGTATATATGTAACATAGTATTTGTATATATGTAACATAATATTTGTACATATGTAACATAATAATTGTGAGGATGGCGCAGGACCGGGCAGAGTTTCGTTCTGTTGTACATACAGTTGCTGTAAGTCGGAAATGACTTGACAGCACCAACATTTGCCACATCAATGTTCTTCACACGTACAATTCAATGGCATCAATTGTGGTCATCAAGCTCCTCACTTTTAAAATTCCTATTGCAGGAGATGCAAACTCAAATGCCAAAAAGAGAGTGGCATGAAACTTGGTAGTGCCAGCGTCAGTAACAGGGATAATACAACAGCCCAAGGGTTTTTTAACAGAGTGCTAGGCCCATACTAAGTGCTTCATGTTTCTTAACTCATTTAATCCCCAAAGAACCCCATGAGGTACTATTATGATTATCCCAATCTACAGATGAGGTTGAACCACTTGCCCACAGTCACAGGGCTAATAGTGCCAGGGCCAGGATTTGAACCCAGATGGAACTGGGCCAGAATGGGAGTTTTGTACACTGGAGAGGGCGTGCCCCACCGAAAGGGGACAGTGGCTTCCATTCTAGCTGACTGTTGCTTTGCAGGAACGACAGACCAGTGTGGCGAGACCTGATTGCTCAAGAGAAGTGAGAAAGCTGAATGTTTATGAGTGATCTCCTGACCTTTAAGAGTTGGCAATTATTAAACAAATTAAAAGTTCAGTGTGCACCCTCCACTGACCTCCCAATAAACTATCTACAGGGGCCTGCACTGGCCCTAGTCTGTGCCCTGTTTCTTCTCCGAGCCTTCTGTAAGCTCTTAATGAACCCCTAAGTCCCCACGCTCTATTCTTCACTTACCTTCTCCCTGCTTCACAACCTCAAAAAAAATATTTTCAACCAACTCACTTTCAGATGTTTAGGGACTGAGGTTAACTCAGCATGTGGCTTCCCCAAGGATATTTATTTGCATCTTAACCCATGTCGCTGGAACATAAAGCTCAGGAGATTCACTAATAGTGGGGATTTAAGCAATGTAACCAAGGGTTTGCAGACTGTGAGATTGGCCCAGCTATTACAAACTGCAACTAGGAGGCCGCTGTTTCCAGCTTTCCTTCACCAAAGCCAGCTCATACAGCAGGTGATCGGGGTCAAGAAGAGCTAGGCTGGGTAGTTGTGGCTATAGGAAATCTGCAAACAACTCTAGGATCTAGGACCGGCAGCCTTAGTTTAATCAGACACACAGGTAGGAACATATCATTAAAGCGCAGGGCTCGCCTGCACCACTGATTGGTGAGAGAGTGAATTTATAAAAGCATCATCCCTGGACCATATCCTCGGGGTACAACATAGCGTTGCTCTTACACCTTCACAGAGTCTTAACAATCTTCATGTCACTATATAACCCACTGCCGTTGAGCCGATTCCGACTCATAGCGACCCTATAGGACAGAGTAGAACTGCCCCATAGGGTTTCCAAGGCTGTGATCTTTATGGAAGCAGACTGCCACATCTTTCTTCCGCAGAGCAGCTGGTGCGTTTGACCCACTGACCTTTCAGTTAGTAGCTGAGAGCTTAACCATTGTGCCACTAGGGCTCTTTAAAATCACCTAGAATGGTTAAAAAACAGTGTCCTGAACTCCACCCCAGGCACACTGAATCAAAATCGTCAACCAGGCTTGAGAATCATGGGTATGCTGCGTGCCATCAAGTCGATTCTGACTCAGTGGCAACCCTGTAGGACAGAAGAGAACTGCCCCATAGGGTTTCCAAGGTTGTAATCTTTAACGAAGCAGATTGCCACATCTTTCTCCTGAGGAGCAGCTAGTGGATTCCAACGGCTGACCTTTAGGTTCACAGTCGAGTGCTTAACCACTGTGCCACCAGGGCTCCTTATGTCACTATATAATCTTTACAAATTGTTGAAAAGTTATCACATTCAGAGGATATTTTCAAAGGCAGTGGTTTCAAGTCACATGGGGACTTTTTCAAAATACAGAAGCCCAGGCTTAATATAGGAGGGGAGGCTGAGGTATGTGTGTTCTGCTAAAGCATGTCAGGTGGCCCTGATGGCACCCACGTCAGGCCCATTGATCTCAGGGTCTCACGAGGTCAGGGTGAGCATATCCTGGACAGACACCAAATGCATAACAAGCAACTTTTATCCCAAAACGCACGCCTTCCTTTTTTAACAGTTTCCATTTGCATAAACTGCACATATATAAATGTGCAAACACTTCCAGGTATTTGGGGGGAGGCATGGGGGCCGGGGACACTGAATTTGGTCAGCTCTTCTAGAGAATCCATTAAACTCAATACTGTCTGATAGTTTCTTAGAATGAAAGTTGCACACTCCTAGTGGTTAAGAGCTAGGCTGCTAACCAAAACGTCAGCAGTTCGAATCCACCAGCCGCTCCTTGGAAACCCTCTGAGGAAGTTCTACTCTGTCCTATAGGGTCGCTATGAGTCGGAATCGACTCAATGGCAATGGGTAGGTAGCACAAATAGTTTTGGGCTCAGCTGCTAACCGAAAAGTTGGAAGGTTGAGTCCACCCAGAGACTTGGAAGAAAGGCCTGGCAATCTACTTCTGAAAAATCAGCCATTGGAAATTCTATGAAGCACACAGTTCTGCTCCCACACATATGAGATCATCATGCATGGGAGTCAATTTGATGGCAATTGGTTTAGTATTAACTGAAACACATATTCAGCAGAGCGCAACAGGGTAGACCAACTTGTGCCACAGACCTCTCACTCCTTCCCATGAGTTCCAGCTCTTCGGCAAAGTCTCTGTGCTTCCTACCTCATTCGTACATCAAGCATTCCCCTGGGTGGGGCTAGAGGCCAGAGCCCACCAGCAGCAAGATGCTGTTGCAGGCAGGCCTCCATGGTGCTTTTGTACAAATTAGAAAAAAGCTCCCTTTCCTCTGGGAGTAGCAGCTCTGTGCCAGAGCTAGTGTCTTGGCAAGTAGAGTGAGTGATGGAGTTCAGTATCTATTCACCACTGACCGGGCATCCTTGTGCAGGACACAACCTATACTCCTGTACCTGGTGGCCCTGGCCCCTAGCTTTAACGGGCATACTCACCCCTTTGCAGATGGCCACGGCTTCCTTGGACATGGACTTTGGATAAGCCACGTTGTGTTCCATGATAGATTGGAAGAGTTCATCCTCATCTTCCCCTTCAAAAGGTGCCTGTAGGACAGAGGACAGAGTAGCACAAGAAGGATCTCTGCCTCAACTCCCCAACTGCCCCAAGCCAGGAGGCTCTCCCTGGGGCCTACAGTGAGGACATATCCCAGGCTTTCAGGGAGAGAATAAGGAAAAACGGTCAATAGGCCAGGGAAGCCACAAGTCCTGAAAGTCACAGAGGCTCTGATTTATGAGCTGATTATCAAGCTGAAGCTTTCTTCTAAAGAAACTATGTGGACGGGGTGGGGGGAGGGTTGTGGGATTAGAAAGGATAGGGAAGGGGGGCTTTTCTTACAAAATCACTTAAAACTCAATTACCTGCCCAGCCAACATTTCATACAGCAGGACTCCAAATGCCCACCAATCCACAGACTTCCCATAGGGCTGATAGGCAATTATCTGGAAAAACAGAAGGCATTCCATCAGGGTGGTGCGCAAGCTCGTGTTACAGCTAGAGACCAACGCACACTTTACAGTCCGAGCGGAGCTTCAGTCAGGGTGGGGTGGTGGCAGGGTGAGGGACAGCTCTTCGTCTGTCACCTGCCTATTGGGGACAATTACAGTGGCTGTCACAGACCCAGAGGCAGGCCAGTGGCTAGAAGAGTGAACATCGAGCCTATTGCCCACCTGAGCTGTTTCTTCACCTTAATTCGTCAGGGAATGATGAACATCCTTTACAGAGCACCTGCCGCAGGGGCCAACACCTGTGCAAGTCATATTGCCTTTTCAAAGCACTTAGTATAATGTTTTGGTTTTTTTTGGTAAAAATATAGGTAAGACAACACTTGACAATTCAACATTTTTTGCTTGTACAAGTCAATGAAACCAATTACATCCATCATGTTGTACAACCATCACCAATATCCATTGCCATATTTTCCATCCCCGTAAACAGAAAATGTTAGCTACACAAAGATGCCCCTCTTTCCCCTTCCCTCCCATCCCTGGTAACCACTGTTAACCTCTTAATGTCTACATGATGTGTTATTTTTTTACATTTGAGTACAATGAGAATGGTATTTATTTTTTTAATTTTATTTTTGGTGAAAATATACACAGCAACACCCACTCCAGCTCCACAGTTTCTAGACATAATGGTCAGTGATGCTAGTTACATTCTTCACACTGTGTCAACATTCTTGTTATTTCTGTTCTAGTTGTTTCACTTCTATTTACTTAATCTCCCTTCCCCCCAACCTTCTCATCTATGCTTTAAAATATCTGTTGACACTTTGGTCTCATATAATTTTTTTTAAAGAAATGCAATACTCAAGAGTGACAATCTTCACTCTTTGGGCTGAACTGTTACTTAGTTTAAAGGTGACTTTAGAGGATAGATTCAATTCAAGATTTGAAGAGCACCTCAGGGCCAGAGTCTCAGGTTCTCCTTCAGACTCAATAGGTCAAGTCTGGATTCTTTAAGAATTTGAAGTTCTGTTCCACATTTTTCTCCCTTTTTATCAGGATTCATCTACTGTGTTACTGATAGAGTATTCAGTAGCGGTAGCTGGGCACCATCTAGTTCTGGTCTCAAGGTGGAGGAGGCAGTGGTTCATGTAGACAATTAGTCCTGTAGTCCAGTTCCTTCTCTGATTCTTGGATTTCCTTCTTTCTCTTTTGCAAGAAAGACCAATAGTTGTATCTTAGATGGCCACTCATAAGCTTTTAAGGCCTCAGACACCATACGGGGAGGTAGAATATAAACTTTAAGACATGTATTATGCCAATTGACTGGATTATCCCACAAGACCACAGCCCTAAGCCCCCAAATCAAGACAACTAATCCCATAAGGTGATTTGTTATGTCTAATTAGTATTAGCATCCATAGCACCTCTCCCCTTTTTTTGATTGTTATTGTTGCAAAACCATGCACAACCTAGCATTTGCCCATTCATTCCTTTTCCCTATGTACAGCTTATAGACACCAGCTACCTTGGTCATGCTATGCAAATTTCACTCATATTTGGTGCCACCTTTCCCCTCTCTATAAACAAAAAGTGATTACTACCTAGGGAGTACTTCTCCCTCTGCCACCCCACCCCTACCCCATCCCCACCCCAATAAACACTAATGAAGATTAGTTTCTTATTATTTATTCATGTCACTTCATAAAAGTGACAACATATGATTTTTATTTTTTTGTGATTGACTTATTTTGCTCAACATCATGTCCTCCAGGTTCATCCAGGTTGTCAGATGTTTCAAGAACTCATTTTCTTTATTGCTAAGTAGTATTCTGTTGTATGTAGGTACCACATTTTACTTACCCATTCATCCACTGATGGACACTTAGGTTGTTTCCATCTTTTTGCTATTGTGAACAGTGCTGCAATGAACATAGGTGTGCATATGCCTGTTTGTGTCACTTCTGTTAGATCCCTAGGATATATACCTAGGAGTGGAAGTGCTGGGTCATGTGGCAGCTCTGCGTCTACTCTTTTGAGGAACTGCCAGACTGTTTTCCACAATGGCTGTCCCATTTTGCATTCCAACTGGCAATAGGTAAGGGTTCCAATTTCTCCACATCCTCTCCAACACTTGTTATTTTCCGTGTTTTTTGTTTGTTTTTAATCTTAGCCATCCTTGGTCTCTCATTGTGATTTTGACTTGTATTTCTCTGATGGCTAATGACGTTGAGCATCTTCTCATGTGTCTGTTGACCATTTGAATATCCTCTTTGGTGAAGTGTCTGTTCCTGTCCTTTGCCCAGTTTTTGATTAGGTTGTCTTTTTGTTGTTGTGCATATGGTACTTTTAAGAAGAATAATTCTTTTTCTCTCATTATAAAAATAACACTTATTACTAATTTACTATTATTTAGAAAATACAGATAAGCTAAGAGAATAAAATAATTCTTTATCAAGAGAAAAATTACGATTAATATTTGGTCTATTTACTTCCACACATTTTTTCTATGAATGCATCTTAAGCTCTGTGTGTGTGTTAAATAGGCATAAATATTTTGCTAATATGGACTCTTAGTTCAGTGTTTTATTCACCTGTTTTCATGCTAATAGTTGTACATCCACATAATCCATTTTTACCTCTGTATAACGTTCTGCTGAATGGGTATACCAAAATCTATTGTATCAGTTCACAGTTGGTGAGGTTTCTACTGATGCTGCAATAGTTATCCTTTTAATGAGATAACTGGACACCCAATTATTTCCTTGTGATAAATTCCTAAAGGTAGAACTTGTGGATCAAATGGGACATACAGTTTTGAATTTTTGGATACATATTAGCAAATTGCCAGAGTAGGATGAAGTCTAGAGTAGCTGTGTGATAGTCCATCTCTCAGTATGTGTGGTCGTTGGTAGGTGTCATCGAGTTGATGCCAACTCTTCACAACCCCACAGAACAGAGCAGAACTGCCCCATACGGTTTCCAAGTAACGGCTGGTGGATTTGAACTACCAGCCTTTTGGTTAGCAGCCGAGCTCTATAACCACTATGCCATCAGGGCTCCTTTCAGTATGTAAGGGCATAAAACTAATTGTATCAAAGGGGTTAAGAGATGTTATAGCAAAGGTTAACAGCTGAGGTTTGAAGGTGAGACAGTCGAGATTTTGAATCCTGATTCTACAATTTACCAGCTGTGTGACCTTGGGGAAGTTACTTAATTTCTTTAAGCCTTACTTTCTGCCTATATAAAATGAAGCTAATATTGTCTATTTCCTGGAGGTTTGTGAGGATGAGATACTACACGTCTCTCGCACATTATGCCCTCAAAATGCTAGTTATCACTAGAATGTTCTCTAATTCAATTATCTGTGATGTTTTACACAGTAAAGGTATTTCAGGAAATTTGGCTGTAGAGCATCTGTTTATTGAACTCCATCTCCCACCTCGACTCCCATGAAAATCAGAAATGTACTCTGAGGAGAATTAACTACAAGAGACCAAAGGGAAATCTTTCTGTGAGAACACTTCTCATTGAAAGTGTTTTCACACGTTTAAAGTACTTCATGTCTTATTTGATCCTCATGACAACCCAACAAGACAATCCTTTCACAAAGGAAAACAGAACCTGAGGAGGTGAAAGGAGTCACCAGAGGTGATGGGGTTAGTTAACGGCACAGCTGGGATGAACACCTGACCTGTAGCTCGTTCCTGCCGTCCCCAGCGAGCAAGGAGGATGAAATTTCACCACTAACACAGCTCAGGCCCTCATCATGCTTTATCAGCATCACAATCAACTGAGAACGTTAGAAAACCACAGATACTGAGCCCCACTGTGTAGAGACTCTGATTCAATTGATCTGGAGTGAGGCTGGGCATCCTATATTTTTAAAGCTCCCCAGGGGACTCTATAAAGTTCAGCTAGGGTCGAGAACCAGAGATTATTGAACTCACAGCACATCAAACAACTGTGTCACCAATTGTGTCTGATTTCTAATTAATTAAACAAAATTATAATAGAACCAAGTATGTTACATAGGGAAAATTCCATTGGGTCCCAATAAGAGGCTAATTTTTAAATGGGTTACTTTTTAATAACTCAAGTAATACACAGATACATTTACCTTGTAAACAATCTAAACAGTACAGATTGAGCTAAATTTCCCATTTCCATGCCCTCATCCTCAGAGGTACCTGATACTATAAAATCAGTCTATTACCTTCCCAATTTTCTATGTTTTACATGTATACATATAAACTCATAGAAAATATACAGTAGTGTTTTGTGGATTTTTTTCCATAAATGGCATCATATTGTATTTATCACTCTGCACATTGATTTTTTTCTCTCAGCAATATGTCTTGAAGATCCTTCCGGATCTATATGTATATTTAACTTACTTTTTTGAATTGATGCCTAGTAGAGGTCCATACTGTAAATACATCATAGTCTATTGCCCACTGCCTTATGGATGAGCACTGTTTCAAGTCAGTAATACAGGTACACCCTGATTTTTGTAAGGCTGCATAGTATTTCTTAACATGGATGTAGCATATTTTAGCTAATCATTCCTTTACTGATTGTCATTGATATTACTGTCTATTTCTCATTGTTAAAAAATAGTGTTGCAGTGAAATACTTTGAACATATATCCTTCCACCCTCGTGTGTGTGTGTGCGTGTGTGTTTGCAAACTAGGGACCTAGAAGATGAGCTGCTTTGGTAAAAGAGTACACCGGTTTTAAATTATGTACCAAGTCATTTCATTACCTGGGGACTTGCATAACCATTGCGACAAATTGAGAGACTAACAGTCAAGAAAAGAGAAATTCTAGGATGTCCATTTCCAAGACTCTGCCACAACCTCAGTTTCTTTCCCAACAAAAAAATCCAGTAACAGATTGCAGAATTCCACCTTTCCAAGCATCAATTCAGAGAAAAAATAAAGCTATCATCTGGCACAACTTACTGTGCCACGATATGTTGGGGAAATCCATTCTGCAACTGACCATTTCCTTTGGGAAGAGACAGAAGGTACTATAATTAAATCTTTATCACAGAAAAAAAAAAATTCTGAATCTTTCAGAATTCATCACAGCTCCTACATACTTATCAGTACACAGATCCTATGTCAGCCTAGGGGATTTCTCTCTCTCTCTCCTCTTCTCCCCACTTAACAAACATTTCAATATCATAATCAGGAGGAGGTATCATATGGCCATGAGCCACAGTATCTTGACAAAAGAATTTTACTGATGTGTGGTGGATGGTTCTTTTGAGTTTTATTTAAATTTTCTCCCAAACCTTGATGTATTTTGGGCCAGAGCTTCTGGATGTGTGCTAAGTCAATTTGCATGTGTGATCTCAAAGGAATGATTTTCGAGTACAGGCTAAGGACCAGCCTGGGGTTTGCTTGCCAGGCACCACCCTCTACCTTTCCCAGCTCGAACACAGCCATCTAGAAAGACATCAGCACAGCATGGACATGTGTTAGGGGCCCATCAGCTCTCACCTCAGGGGCGATGTAGTCTGGAGTGCCACAGAACGTCTTAGTTGTCACCCCGTCCCAGATGTTTTCCTTACACATGCCAAAATCAGCAATCTTGATGTGGCCCTCACAATCCAGCATCACATTGTCAAGTTTCAGGTCACTGCGGCAGACATAAGTATTAGGGATTTCATTAAATGCTTAAATGATTTAATTAAAGTCAACCAACAGCCACTCATTATGTGCAAAGCACTGTACTGGGTGTTGTGGGGGCAGACACACGCACACAAAGAAACCCTACTGTCATGGAGTCAACTCTGACTCGTGGAGACCCCACGTGCGTCAGAGTAGAACTGTGCTCCATAGGGTTTTCAGTGGCTGATTTTTCAGAAGTAGATCACCAGCCTTTCTTTTGAGGTGCCTCTGAGTGGACTCGAACATTCAATCTTTTGGTTAGCAGCTGAATGTTAACTATTTGACCACCCAGGGACTCTATGCTGACACAAAGGTGACTATAAACCAGCCCTTGCATTCCAACAGCTTACAAACTGGCAGGGAGATAAAACAAGGGGCCAAAAACCTCTCTTTTCTTTTTCTGTAAACTATGCCAAGCATCTCAGAGGACATGCTGAGATAGCATCTCTGAGAAGAGAGAGATCCATACAAAGTTAAACAAAGGGCAGAGTGTCTATAGAGGCTTCTTGTATCCACAATTCCAAGAGCTGACCTTTGCAACGTAAGGACTCCTTATATTTGGTAAGAATATATAGTTTTCACAAAATTATTTTCTTTCGGAATATGTCTGAAGATCATGAAGGAAAAAAATGATTGGGAGAAACTTATTTAATTCCAAGAGCTCCAAGCTCTCCTAGGCCAGTTCCTTAGAACTGAACATGAACCAGGAGCTTTCATTTTTTCTTTCAATCAAAAAAATATTTGTTGTGCATCTACTATGTGACAGGCACAATGTATGGAGCTAAGTGCAGGTATGCGTTGCTTGACATCCCTTCAGGCAACTCCCACCACATATACATAAGTGGTTCCATAAGGTTATCTCGACTGGAGAACCCACATAGGAGACTAGTGGATGTACTTTGCTAAGTGGGGAGATCTGATCTGTCTCTCACTAGCTCTCCAGGTCCTAAGACCACCCCAAGCCTGGGGCGGCAGGGGGAGAGGGTCCCAGCACCCATCTGGAGCTGCCTGCCTCACCACGCTCACCGCAGGCAGGAACTGGGCAGACTACACTGGAGCTCCTGAGGGGGGTGCCCCGCTGAGGCCGCTACCCCATTCAGCCAAGGCATCACCTGTGGTGGTGGCTGGTGGTGGCTGCCCATTGGTCTAGGCTGGGACAGGTGGGGCTGGAAGAGTTTAAAGCCCACTAGGGGAGACAGGAAGGCAGGCAGGGAGGAAGGAAGGGAACAGAGTCGATGGCACAGCGGGGCCAGGAGGCAGCCGGACTGTGACTGCGCACCCTGGCGGGCAGGTGGGGGCCAGGCACGGCTCTCAGAGACTGAGTGGGGAGCACGCAGGACCAGCGGCAGACCCAAAGTTTTTGTGCAGTCCCTTGGGACAGTGGTGAAACAGCACGGGTCCCAGGCCAACCAGTGACCATCCTGCACATCTCTCTCCTGTATATAATATGGTGTTCGCACAACGTTCAAATCACATCGTCCTATTTATTTCACAGAACCTATCCTGGATGTTAAGCAACATACACCTGTATATAGCTGTGAACAAGATAAGCAACCATCCTGTTCTTATTCAGACCAAATTCTAGTGCGGGGAAGAAGACAATTAGCAAGCATTCAAATTATCTATAAGCATGAATGTTATAGATTCTGATAAGTGGCATGAAGAAAATAAAGAGGATGTTGAAACCGACAGTAGTGGGGGAGGTCAGCTGAAACAGGGTGTCAGGGAAGACCTCTCTAAGGAGCTGACAGTTGAGCTTTAAGCTCAAGGACATATACTGCGCACTCACTGTTTTATTTCCATCTGTGTCGGTCAGGAGGGTGTGATATTTGGGGGAATTGTTGAACATCCCCACTGTATCAAATCACTCCAGTATCAACACACTTCCTCCTTCCTGAACACACACGTCACTGTCAACACTTAGTGTTTCAGTACCAGTGAGTAGGGATGATCCACAGGCCAGACTTCCTCAGGGAGTTCCACTTCCAGAGATGTAAGGGGATCTACTGTTCAGTGCAGACCTTTCCGTTAAATCATCTTGATTGGGTGGTGGACATTTGTGGTTTGTGTCTCCTCTAGCATCTTGTGAGGACAGCATCTTAATATTTCTTTGAAGAAATACTCTGCCCCCGTTCTTAAGCCATGAGTGGTGCTGACCCCAGATCCTGGCTCCAGGAATTTAGGGGTCATGTCGTTTGGAAGATAATGTGTACCATTCAACACCAGAATCACGTCAGCATGAAAGATGCTCTCTGTGAAAGTCAGCAGGGGAACTGAAGGATTAGAGGACTCACATGTTCTGTCTCATGCTCACATGGTGATACATGTTCATTGAGGACAAGCCTGGGTAGAATGGCCACACTATTTTAAATTTGCATTATTATTATTCTGTTTCTCTGCCCTCACTAGGATCTCCCATGTGCCAAGAAAAACCACACCTCTTCCTGACCTTCATCCCTGCATTACCAAGGGGTAAATGGGGAGTGTGGAGACTCTGTGTGTTCAGGATGAGATTTTCCCCCTCCACACTAGATTTCATAGCACCAATCCAAGGAGAGAAGAAAGCCCCAGGCCTCTGCAGGCTTCTGGCAAGGCCCCACCTTCCACTTACTGGTTCCAACAGCACTCACAGCCTTACCTCCATTATCTGCCTTGAGACTACCAGGGCTAATCTCTTTATGCCTTTTAGTCTCTGTACTGGGTTGAATCCAAAAAAAAAACAAAAACAAAAAAAAAAACCATTGCCATCAAGTCAATTCTGACTCATAGTGACCCTATAAGACAGAATAGAACTGCCCCATAGGGTTTTCAAGGCTGTAAATCTTTATGGAAGCAGGCTGCCACATCTTTCTTCCAAGGAATAGCTGGTGTGTTTGAACCGCCGACCTTTCGGTTAGTAGCCAAGCACTTAACCACTGCACTACCAGGGCTTCTTACTGGATTGAATAGTGTCCCCTAAAACTCATGTCCACTAGGAACCTCAGAATGTGACGTTCAGAATGTGACGTTATTTGGAAATAAGGTCTTTGCAGGTATAATTAATGAAGATGAGGTCATACCAGACTAAGGTGGGCCCTGAATCCAATATGACTGGTTTCCTTATACGAGGAGTACAGGACACACAGAGACTCAGACACACAGGGAAGAAGGCCATATGAAGACAGAGGCAGAGACTGGAGTGATGCAGCTACAAGCCAAGGGATGTCAAGGATGCCAGAAGCCACCAGAAGCAAGGAAGACTTCTTCCCCAGAGCCTTCAGAGGGAGGACGGCCCTGCCTACACCTTGATTTTGAACCTCTAGCCTCCAGAACTATGAGAGAATAAATTTCTGTTGTTTTAAGCCACCAGCGTTTGGCACTTTGTTACAGCAGCCCTGGGAAACAAATACAGTCCCATATCCGTCAGTTGCAGCAAGAGACCCAAGGCTCCCAGCTCCTCCTTAGCTAATCCTAGACCCTAATCCTCAAGCTCTCTACAGAATGGGAGGAACCCACCACCCCCAGCATTTAATAGCCCATTCACCTGCTTGATTTTCCTTCTCCATAGCACCTGCCACCACTTGAGGTTCTGTATATTTTCATGATTTACTCATCTGTCTCCTGCCTCTAGAATGTACGCTCCACAAGGGCAGGGGTTTTGTCTGTTTTGTTCACTGCTGTATCCCCACCACTTAGAATAGAGCCTCACACATAGCTGTTATTGTTCTTAGTTGCTGTCTAGTCAGCTCCTACTCATGGCGACCTTATGTCTAACAGAACAAAATGCTGTCCCGTCCTGCACCATCTCCACGATGCTGAAGTCCACTGCTGTGGCTATTGCGTCCGTTCTTCTCCTTGAAGGTTTCCCTCATTTTCGCCGACCCTCTACTTCACCAACCATGAGTCACATCATAACATGATATGTACATGGAGCACACAGTAGGCACTTGATAAATAGTTGTCAAATGAATGAATAAAATGGGTTTTTGTGGCTCTTTATGGTCTTTGAAATAGAACCTTGTCGCCACCAAGTGGGGTTTGGAAGCCCCATGACCCTGCCAGTCTCTCTTGCATAACAAACAAGTCCAAACCTGAGCGGACTATGCCATTTGCATCTATGTAGTGTGAAAAGGATTGTACACTCTGGCCTCGCTGACAAATAGCAGCCTCGGGCTCCACAGCCGGCCTTGCATGGAACATGAAATGGTATGACTCAGACAGCTATGATCATACACTTGCTCCTCCAAAAATGGACAAATGCCAGCTCCCAAACTTAATCCTGTCCTTCAGGCAAGCGACTCAGAGATCCGTTTGCAAGTTGTAGTTACATAGCAAAAAAGAAAAAAAAAAAAATGTTTTGTAATAATATGATCCATCACACTTTGTCAGCCAAGATCCTTTGCTTGACCCTCACGTGTGGGGTCCCTGGGCAAGAAACAGAGGTACTGGGGCCCCAGTGGTGAGCCTCTTTCTCTTAGAGCAAACGGTCTCATGTTTGAGCATTATGAACCATCACTGGTGGCGGAGTCCACAGAGATTTTTCTACCGACATACAGAGCTGCCCAAACTTTGCCAGGGCAGTGGGCGACACTGCCTGGCAGAACACATGCCCAAGTTAGTACTGGAGGATTCCTCCCCCACCGTGGATTCTATTTTAAACGTGGTTAAAGAAAGAGGCAGGGAACGAGGAGATGGAAAGCACAGCAGTGCTCACTTACCGGTAAATGATGCCCTTGCTCTGTAAGAAGAACAGGCCAATGGCGATCTCTGCAGCGTAGAATCTGAAAATTTTTTTAAGAAAAAGTGACAGAGAAAATTCAAGGACACCGTTTGCATGGCAAGTCTCAGAATTCAACACAATTTTGAAGAAGGCATAGGGCATTGAAGTCCCACCAGGGATGGTCAGCCATATATCTCATAAAACGCTGAGTAGATGGATGGATTCGGGTTGTTTTAAGAGCTACAAGGTTGTCTTAAAGACCAACTGGGGATGGGCGGAGATTCGGCAATTGCACATGGGGAAGGGGGCCATGGGATAAGAGGAACTGGATGGAAAATTATGGTTCAATAACAATAACCACTAACATCTGTTGAAGGTTTACCATCTACCTAGCATTATTTTTGGCATTCTCTGGTTTAGTCTTCATAACAATCCTATAAGGTAGATCCAATTATTATCCCCCTATTCCTCAAATGAGGAAACTGAGGCTTAGTGAGATAAAATAACTTGGCCTCTGGACACCCTGCTAACTCAGAACTGAAGCCACTCCCAAAGTTCACCTTTCAGCCAAAGACTGGACAGGCCTATAAAACAAATAATAACACACGTGAGGAACATGTGTCTTTGTTCAACCAAATATATGAGACCACATGGGCAACACTTGCCCAAAAGCAAAGACGAGAAGGCAGGAAGGGACAGGAAGATTGGACAAATAGATAAGGAGAACCCAGGGTAGAAAGGGAAAGGGGGAGCCTGCTGACACATTGTGGGGATTGCAACCAATGTCACAAAACAAGTGGTGTGTAAATTTTTGAATGAGAAACTAATTTGGGCTGTAAACTTTCACCTAAAACACAATAAAATTAAAAAACAAATAAAAATAACTTGGCCAAGTTATGGAGCCCTGGTGGCGCAGTGGTTAAGAGCTCAGCTGCTAACCAAAAGGTCAGCAATTTGAATCCACCAGCCACTCCTTGGAAATCCTATCCGGCAGCTCTACTCTATCCTATAGGGTCACCATAAGTCAAAATCGACTCGACAGCAACGGGTGTTTTTTTTTTTTTTTTTTTTTGGTGGGCAAGTTATAAAGCTAATGAATGGTACAGCTAGGACAGAATCTATGTAAAGTGTAAGCTCATAATGAAGATCCAGAAAGAAAGAGGTTAAGAGAAACAGGAAGCCCAGTTATACCACAAAGGTGGAGCAAGGCTTTAGGGAACTATGCCAAGTGTCCTGATCATATGTCTTGTGTGATAATAGAATTAAGGCCTGTGGTCAATCAGACGTTAGAAGTAAAAGAAGAGCCAGGCCTGTGGTCTCATTGGAATTGTGCTGAGTTATACTAATGGCTTGATCAGAAACACAACAATGCTAACCTTGCCAGAAGCTAGTGCTCACAACCTCCATGGGTGGGAGAAAAGAGAGGGCAAGGGCTGAGCTGAACAGGAACCAGCAAGCCTCCGTGATGAAGGACTGGGGTCCTACATGATCCCTGGTGGCTTTCTGGACAGGCAGTAAGATCTTAGCAGACTCCCTAGGAGAGGTTATTGTTGTTAATTCCTACGACTTGCCATGTTCCTATCTGCCAACGGGGCTCTAAGCAGGGGAGTAACTAGGGGAAGTAAACTGATGAGATGTATGTTCTAAAAAGAGGAGATACTGGCTGCTCTGTGGACTGAAGGGGGAAGGCAAAGAGTGGATTCAGTGGGGGAAACACATTTTCAAAGATCCAGAATCAGTCTACATCCCAGACTCACAAATCACAGCCGTGGTATATCGTGGCCCTTCATCTCCCTGGAGTGAAGGCACTGGAGAGGGAGCGTGCTGTTGGATAGAGAACGTGGGCGGAAGAGATTTGGTCAGAATTCTGCATCTGCCTCCCACTAGCTCTGTGATCTTGAGCAAATTCCCAAAACTCCTGGGCCTCAGTTTCCTCGTTTGTAAAGTGGAGATGAAAACACCTACCTCCCAGGATTGTTCTCAGGATTAAATGAGAACACATTTGTTAAGCACTTAGGGTTTGGGACCTAGTAAACAACAACAACAAAAAAAAACCAAACCCATTGCCATCTAGTCAATTCTGATTCATGGCTACCCTATAGGACAGAGAAGACTGCCCCATAAGGTTTCCAAGGGTGGCTGGTGGATTCGAACTGTCGACATTTTGGTTAGCAGCTGTTATGGATTGAATTGTGCCCCCCCAAAATGTGTGTATCAATTTGGCTGGGCCATGATTCCCAGTATTGTGTGACTGTCCACCATTTTGTCATCTGATGTGATTTTCCTATGTGTTGTAAATCCTGCCTCTTCGATGTTAATGAAGGGGGATGGGTGGAAGTCGTGTTGATGAGGCAGGACTCAATCTACAGGATTGGATTGTGTCTTGAGCCAGTTTCATTTGGGATATAAAAGAGAGAGGTGAGTGGAGAAACAGGGGGACCTCATACCACCAAGAAAGAAGCACTGGGAGCATAGTACATCCTTTGGACCCAGGGTCCCTGCACTGAGAAGCTCCTCAACCAGGGAAAATTGATGAGAAGGACCCTCCCCCAGAGCCTACAGAGCTCACGCCCTGAATTTGGACTTCTAGCCTACAGACTGTGAGAAAATAAATTTCTCTTTGTTAAAGCCATTCACCTGCGGTATTTTTGTTATAGCAGCACTAGATAACCAAGACAGCAGCCATAGCTCTTAATCACTGCGTCACCAGGGCTTCTGGGACCTAGTAGGTTCTCAATAAATATGGCAAATGAACAAACACAATCTACAATGACATTCCCCAAGGAAGCTATAGGGGCTTCCTTAAGAGTCAGGGGTAAGAATTGGAGATAATGAAATAGCTGTAATTTGAGAGGATCAAGTTCTTTGTTGGTGGCAGGAAAGAAAGAAGTATCCCATATTAAGCAAAACACCCTTTTCTCCTGGCCCTACCTTTCTCATGAAGAAGCCCCAGATGCTTAAAATCCCTCTTTGCCTGAAAACCCAAAGGTACTAAAAACCAACTCATTTATCCCAAGGAAAAAGCACAGCACAGGCTCCCACATACACAGCATGAGGCTCCTTAAACCGGCCAACTTGTTGGATGTGGTACATGAGGTCACCCCCGTTCACATACTCCATCACAAAGTACAGGCGGTCCTGGAAGAAGAGAGCAAACAGCAAAGTCAGCATCCTGTAGTTTCTCAAGCTCCAAACAGAAAGCCCAGAATATCTGGAATTTATAGTCAGAACAACCAGAACTCCCAGGCAGCCTATATTTGCCAGGCCCAGTGTTGCTCCAAGTGGAGTATTTGTGCCACTGGAAGTATGCAAGTGAGCTGAAGTGGTATATGAATAAATTTTCTTTAAATTAATAGTTATAAATTTATATTAGTTTGTACCGGAAAATATAATTAGCACATTAATCTGTGACTTAATGGATAGTATTGTTTAGGACAAGGCTAATTTTAACAATAAGTGGAAAATAATAAGTAAATAATATTACAGGCAGTAGGTAGCTGTGGTGGAGTCCTGGGGTGGTGTAAACGATTAACGTGCTTGGCTCCTGACCGAAAGGTTGGCGGTTAGAACCAGCCAGAGGCACCTTGGAAGAAAAGCCTGGTGATCTGTTCCCAAAAAACCAGCCACTGAAAACCCTATGGAGCACAGTTCTACTCTCACACTTGTGGGGTTGCCATAAGTCAGAGTCAATCTGATAGCCACTGGTTAGGTAGCTGTGGTAGTCAACCTCTATGATGGCTGCCCAATGATTTTCACTCCTGGTATGCATGCCTTTGCATAGTCTCTTACCACACTGAATAGAACTAGCTTGTGTAACCAACAGAATATTATGAAAATGACCATGTGTGACTTCTGGGACTAGGTCGTAAAAGACACGACAGCTTCCACCTTGCTCTCTGTTGGATCACTTGCTCTGGGGGAAGCCAACTGCCATGTCATGAGAACACTCAAGTAGGACTACAGAAAGGTCCATATGGCATGGAACTGAGGCCTCCTGCCACCAGCCATATGAGTGAACCACCTTGGAAGCAGATCTGTCAGCCCCAGTCAAGCCTTTGGATGACTGCAGTCCCAGCAGGCACCCTGACTACAACTTCACTTGAGACCCCAACCCTGACCAAAAAAAAAAACAAACCTGCTGATGTCGAGTTGATTCTGACTCATAGTGACCCTATATGACAGTAGAGAACTTCCCTATAGGGTTTACAGAAGCAGAATGCCACATCTTTCTCCCCTAGAGTGGCTGGTAGGTTCAAACCTTTCAGTTAGCAGCCGAGTGCTTAACCACTGCACACCTGGACTCTGACTCCCAACCCAGTATCATCCAGAAAAGCCATTCCTAAATTTCTGACCCACATAAAATGTGAGATAATAAATGTCTATTACTGTTTTAAGCCATGAACACTGAAGTGATTTGTTACTTAGCAATAGATAACTAACACAGTGCCTATCGAAAAACAACAAGGCCCATGAATGATCAACGTTCGAAAAAAGTGGTCTACGAGGGCATCTCTAGAAGTAAAAGAATTGGGAGCAGAAAAAACTAATCTATACCCCATTCAGGGCATTTTTTTAAATATGTCTTTCCAGACAGACAGTGATCTCCTTCAAGTGAGGGACTATGACTTCCTTATCTGTTTAAGCCCCATTCCTGGTACCATGACTAGCATGTAGTAGGTGCCCAGAGATTGAAAATGCATAGGTTTTGGTGCCAAACGGGATTTTATTTGGAAACCCAACACTGCCTCCTGATGGCTGAGTGTACTTGGAAAAGTTATCTAATACCTGGGTTTCCTCATCTATAAAATGGTGATAACAGCAGAACCACAGGGTTATTGTTAGGATTAAATGAGAAAGATGTATGGTATGTTATGGTCCCTGGGCAGCATCTACTGGCCATTTGCCTTCTCTCCTCCCTTCCAGGGGTGTTTGCTGAATGAATGAATGGCTTCACCTCTTCTCACAGACTCTGCTGGCTCTAATCACTCCTTTGTGCTACACTCCTCTGGTTTGCAAGCGCAGGGTCTGCACTAGCTCAACTGTAGGGAGCGGAAGTCCCTCTCATGTTTACAGCCTGAAAAAATCACTTTTCTAACCCATCCCAGGAGCCCTGGTGACACAATGGTTAAGAGCTCAGGCTACTAACCAAAAGGTCAGCAGTTTGAATCCACCAGGCGCTCCTTGGAAACCCTATGGGGCAGTTCTACTCTGTCCTATAGGGTCACTATGAGTTGGAACTGACTCGACGGCAATGGGTTTTTTTGGTTAACCCATCTCAATCTTAAATTAGGTGTACCTGTTGCACTGTTTCATGGCCCCTTGTGTTTTTTCCTTTGATTGCCTGCCATATTGGTAATTATCTATTTAACTGGGTGGTTATTTATTTCATTCATTTATTCACTCATTTGTTAATTCAAAAAAATATATTTATAGAGCCCAGTAAGTACTCTGCTGGCATAGTGGTTAACAGCTACGGCTGCTAACCAAAAGGTCAGCAGTTGGAATCCACCAGGTGCTCCTTGGAAACCCTATGGGGCAGTTCTACTCTGTCCTATAGGGTCACTATGAGTCAGAATTGACTCGACAGCAATGGGTTTGGTTTTTTTCTTTTTACTAAGTACCAGGTGCTGGGGATACAGCAGTGAACAAAACCAACAAAAATCCCTGCCTTCATCCTTCATTCTAGTAGGGGGAGACAGGTAAAGACAATAAACACTAAACATGATAAATAAGTAAATTATATAGAATGTTAAAAAGTAGTAAGTGCTATCAAACAAACAAAAAACAACAGAGCAGAATAAGGGGGACTGGACGGGATGGGAGAAAGAAGTTCCAATTTCAATAAAGTGTCATGGCAAGCCTTATTAAGAAGGAGATGTTTCAGCAGACTTAGAAAAGGTGATGCAGTTAGCTACGCAGATACCTCGAGGAGGAGCTCACCAGGCAGAGGAAACAGCCTGTGCAAAGGCTCTGAGGCTGAAGGATGCCTGATGCGCTTTAGGAACCAAGAGGAGGCCAGTGTGATTGAGAAGAGGGTGGGAGGGAGGAAGACAGGGTTAGGAGATGAAGTCAGAGAGGGGATCAGGGAACAGATCACATAGGCCCTCACAGGCTATTACAAGGACTTTGATTTTTCACCCTGAAAGAAATGGTTTAAAGCCAGGGATGACTGAAAGCCCCATAAAGCCAAAGACCATGTCAAATTGGTTTACAACGGTGCACCAAGAACACAGCACTATGCCTGGTCCAAAGGAAGCACGCAGTCAACATTAATGAAGTGAATGAATGAGTGATCCCAGAAGGCAGCAGGAAGTAGTGGGCCTCTATGGCACCAGCCTATGTGATCTGTTCCCTGATCCCCTCTCTGACTTCATCTCCTAACCCTGTCTTCCTCCCTCCCACCCTCTTCTCAAGGCCCTGGCTCCACACTTTCTAGCTGGGTGGACTTGGGACGACCACTTAATATCCCTGAGCCCCCAAATCTCTATTTGTAAAATATGGATAATATAGTCAACCATCTTTAACTCTGAGTGACCAAGGGGCTCAAATAAAACCTGTGTAGTGCTGCATACTGTAAATAAATGTGATGTCCTCTCGGTACTCCCTGCTTATTTAAGTCAGGCCATTGGCTTTTAAGGAGCCCTGGTGGCACAGCAGTTGATGGAAATGATCAGAGTGCCTTGCACAGGGTACCACTAAGTCTTATTTTGTGAAACATGTGCTTCAGTAATATTATATATAGGTATGACCGATGGCAATGTAAAATGAGTTTCTTATGTTGGTTTGCCGTTAAAAGTTGTCAAGCCACCGTGCTGAGCTATAAGACCAGAAGCAGGGGTGGCAGACAAGTGAAGTGCTGGGCAAAGGTTCCAGCTCTGAAATCAATATAGGACCTGAGGTCGTGTTCTATTACTTATCAGCTGTGCAATGCCAAGCAGTTACTTAACCACACTAATCTCCACCTTTGTTGTTACATGTAAATTGGACATCGTTACACCTGCCCCACAGAGTATTTTAAAAGATGGCATATATAAAGCATCTAGCATAATGTTAGCCATATATCATATGTCTAAACCACCATTAAAAAAAAAAAATTTTCTTATAGCCCATAGACTGTATCTTATATATAACCAAACAAAAAACTAAACCTATTCCAACTCATAGCGACCCTATAGGACAGAGTAGAACTGCCCCATAGGGTTTCCAAGGAGTGCCTGGTGGATTCGAACTGCTGACCTTCTGGTTAGCAGCCGTAGCTCTTAACCACTATGCCACCAGGGTTTCCTATATATAACATGTAACAGTCATACATTTATTTATCAAATGTGTATTGCGTGCCTAATAATTATAGTAACTGCAATAAGGAAATAAAGCTACCATCTGTGGAGCACTTACTATGTGATAGGCACTGAGCTAACACACTCGGCTGCTAAGCAGAAGGTTAGTGGTTCGAGTCCACCCAGAGGTGCCTCAGTATAAAGGCCTGGTGATCTACTTCTAAATAACAGCTATTGAAAACTCTGCGGAGCACAGTTCTACTCTAACACACAGGGGGTTGTCATGAGTTGGAGTCAGCTCCATGGCAAATGGTTAAGTGCTTTATATATTTTATCTCACTTATCTCTCTAAACAACCCAATATGATAAATACCGTGTTTTTACACAAATAATGCGTGCCTTCTGCGTTTGTTTGCCAGCTGTACCCTCCCATTAGGCACCCTCACAAGGGCTGCCATGCCAATCCTCTTCTACATGTCACTGTAAAAAAAAAAAAATTTAGCATAGCGTGCTTACAAAAATAACTCACAGGGGAGGGCGTGGCCAGCAAACAAACGCAGAAGGCACGCGTTATTTGCGTAAAAACACAGTACTATCATTCTTCTCCTTTCGAAGACATGAAAGTTGAAGCACAGAAAGGTTAAGTAACTTGCCGAAGGTCTTTCAGCTGGTAAGTTGCAGCTAGGATTTTAACCTGGTGGTCGAGTTCCAGAGGCTACACTCTTTATCTCTGTGCTATGCTGCCTCCAGTGAACATATCTTACATGCAAGGTTCTCTGCTAGACATTCTATGGATGTGCGGATGTATCCTCCCCTCAAAGAGTTTCCTGTCCAGGAGGGGAGAGAACGAATGTAGAGACC